AACACTGTTCTAGTGGTTTTTGGATATTTTAATAAAAAAATCTGATGACTGATCCTTTGAAGATCAGCGAATGGACCTTTTATATATATATATATAAGTATATTAAGTATAAAAAATATATTAAGTATCAAGTATAATACACTAATTTTGTCACCCAAATATTATATTATATTATATTACATTTTAAGTTTTTAAAAGCAAATAATGAGGTTTTGATATTAAATGATTTTAAAAAGTAGTAATAAATATTACTTATATTATATTATATTACATTTTAAGTTTTTAAAAGCAAATAATGAGGTTTTGATATTAAATGATTTTAAAAAGTAGTAATAAATACTTTTTATAAATAGTTTAATGTTTGTTATAACATATGTTTATAGTCTTAAGTGTAAGGTAAGACATAATAACCCGCCAACGTTTCTTTTTTTCTTTTCTTTTCCACTTTCTATCATTGTCAGAGATTGCAGAAGGTCCTGGAAGACACAAGGCCTCAGGTGTGGGAGATCCAAGACCGACTCAGGATCCTGCAGGAAAAGGGGTGTTGCCGTGAGCGGCCAGGCCAGCCTGTACCAAAATCACAGCTGTTGATACGCTGGATGGAGCTTCATAATCGACTACAGCAGAAGATACAATCCACACAGAAGATCAGAAAGAATTATGAGAGGTGTGAGAAAAACAGTAATCAAATAATAAATAAAAAATGTTTTTAAAAATGCCATTTTGTTGGAGGAATGAAGTGGTATAATTTTCCCCTCACAAATGGATCATCATATTTGGAGGTCCAGGGTATTAAAAAGTGTAAAATCCCTTTGTTTAGAGGCCACATTGTTATATCAGGTTATAAATAAAGGTGTGTATTTCTGTGCGCTTATATGTGTAGGTTCCAGTGTAACTCAACAGAACTAGAAGTGTGGATATGTCGTGCTCAAGAACAGGTTCAGAAGTGGAACAGTTTGTCTGATTCTGATCCACTGAATTCCAGAACAATCTTGACCCAGCTCACGGTGACTAGAATTTGATTTGTGTTTATATTATTTATTTTTTTATACCATGTGAACATGTGCATCATGCCCAAAATGCAAAAATAAGAATGTGGCTTTGTTTGCATGTTGCAGGAGTTCTTCAAGGAGCTGGAGGTCCGTTCGGCACAAAAAGCTTCTGCAGAATGTGCAGGCACACAGATACTGCAGCTGACTGACAATGAAGCTCCAGGTCTGCGCAGACGACTGGCTCAACTTGAGCAGGAATGGATGAACTTGACTAGCGAGCTGCCCACCCTCAGCCAGACACAGCAACAAGTACGACTAATGTGTCTCTCTTAAGTTTCTCTCTCTTTTTCTCTCTCCCTCATCGATCTATTAGAAGCGAAACTCTGGCAAACAGATATTGTTTAAGTAAGCATCCTCTTGCCCTCC